CGTTAGGGTAAGCCCTAGAACGGCGTAATGATTTACTATGAGTTTACGATAATCGTGATTAGTAGTCACAGGGATATATGGAAGGGTGCTTTTAAATGAACACGGACCCACGACTACTCCCGTGCAAGCACGCTTAACTTTGTCCTCACTCATGCGCGCCCTGAGAAACTTCCCAGGGGGTCACCCATCCCAAGACTACTCCCGTGCAAGCACGCTTAACTTTGGAGTTCTTGGATGATGAGCTTCCTTAAAAGGAGATGCACCTCTGTTGGTATGAGTAGTACTATTAATTCTCTTAAATTAATCTCGGGTATTACAGGTGGTGTCTACCCAGAACTATGTGACAGCAACCCGGGGAGTCTTGATGAAGACCAGCCCGAGGTTGATAGATTATGATTACTCGAATACAACAAGTGTTGTTGAGGTTGAAGCCACGGCTAAACAAAGATATAGAAGCTATGTGATATATTCGGGGTGTGTAAGTCCTAGTCGAGCAAAGATTATATTCAGGGTGTGTAAGCCCTAGTTGAATAAAGGTTATATTCGGGGTGTGTAAGCCCTAGTTGAATAAAGATTATGCGGGGTGTGTAAGCCCTAAAAAAATAAAAGATATTACGCGGGGTGTGTAAGCCCCACATGGATAAAGCTTATACGGGGTGTGTAAGCCCTAAACGAATAAAAGATATTATGCGGAGTGTGTAAGCCCTACATGGATAAAGGTTATACGGGGTGTGTAAGCCCTAAACGAATAAGTATTACGCGGGGTGTGTAAGCCCTAAACGAATAAGTATTATACGGGGTGTGTAAGCCCTAAACGAATGAAGCATATACGAGGTGTGTAAGCCCTAAGCGAATCAAAGATATTATACTGGGTGTGTAAGCCCAAAATGAAAGAATACACCTGTAAGGTTGTAAGTCCAATATGGATGAGTACAAAGAATAAAACGTGTAGCCCTTTCGATGAAATTGAGTTTAGACTAGGAGTAATGTGACCTCTCAAAGTTGCTATATGCAAGTATAGGCCAAGGGCTATTTAAAGGGGATTGTTTTTAAATACAAATGGGCCTACGGGCCGGCTATTTGATTTGTATATATATATATATATATATATATATATATATATATATATATATATATATATATTATACAAGTGATTTGAAATGGGGTAGCTATAGGTTATGCCCATAATATCGCATCACCCTGTGTTGAGGGTCTTGTGTTCGAAACACGGATTATATGCCGTGTAGTTGTCATTGTACTTTTCAAATGCTTCAAAGTACTGACCTCTCCTTCACGGGAGAGGCCACTTCACAGTTTTCAGGTAGAAGCTAGAGCTTGCTTCCTAATCCCATTGCTTCGGGTGATCTATGGAGAGAAGACGTGGTTTGTGCTTCTTCCAATTCTATTTTGATACAAATGAAATGATGCTCATGGAAACTATTTTAAACTATAAATGATTTGGGAGCCTGTGTGCTCATGTTTGCCTTGTGTGGCCTTTGACTTTAAAAATGTATTTGTTTTCCGCTGCGTATTTTGAAATGCTTTATTTATGATTTTTTATGGATGTACTTGTGTGAATGGTATTCATGTACGCCTTGCATGGTTCGAGAGAGGTAGACTGCGGTTGCCTTAATCGGATTGTGCAGCGGTTGTTAGCGTGTCCGGCCAGCCCGGGGCGTGACACGACAAGTGCTGAATTGTGGGTGATCATGTTTGTGGAACACCTCAAGAAGATCTCATTGGATATTAATCTAACAGCAGTATAATAAAGGCTAGACTACGACAACACATTAGACAAACTTGATTCACAACTAAATAGTCTTCAACACCATCCACGAGCCACTTATTTCCTCCTATAGGATTAGTCTTCACCCCACTACCAGCTCTAAGTTGTACCCCAAAAATGTTTTCCAAAACCAGATTTTCTTCATATGTTAATGGACAGAATTTATCAAAATGACCTATGATACCGCAAACAAAACGGAAATTGGGCAAATTTTCATACATAAAATCTACCTAGTGACCAATCCCTCCTTTTTAAGAGTGGTACCCTTTTTCAGAGGTTTTTCCACATCCATACACATTCTAACTCGCATATAAGATTCCCACTTTTCACTAAACTCGTTAGCATCATAACGGACATACTTACCAATAAGATTTCCAATACGTCTAGCAGTACCTAAATTCATCAAGCTGTAAGGGACATTATGAACCTTTACCCAAAACTCAGCTTCATTTAGACAAATCTTATGTGGAATATCATCAGGTCCAACTTCTTTTAGATTCAACAAATTCCTCTCAAACTGCCACGAACCACCATCTAGAACACGTTTTATATCCAATGTGGTAGAAAGGAAAAAGATATCTCTTATCACCAATTTCTTTGACCGACACGCCTTTCCCCGGCCTCCACATAGAAGCCATAAGCTCTTTGAATACTGGAAACTTGATTTTTCTATCCGTTAACAAGGCGGCCACAACCGGATAGCACGACCGACTCTCCTGTATTGTGACATTATCAAGTTCTGTTTCATCCAGATCTAGCTCCTCGGCTTCCTCACCTATATCCATCTTCTTGTACTGGTCAACAATCTTTTCCATGCAGCGCCAATCGCTCATTGCCCAATGATCAAGTCCTCCTAGCAAACCTCCCTGATCTTCGTCCTCCTCGACAAAAAGCCTTCACTGTCGAAACGTCTCAATCCGACCCCTTTGCTCCTGAATCGTCACAATCTGAGATCCTCGTTGACCGTCCCTAGCAATCCCCTCCCTTCAAAGTCTCAAAACGCGAACGAACCGTCAAACGGTGCCGCTCCTCGACAGTAATCGATAGCGGAAGAAAGCCCTAGCGGTGAAGACACCCTAGAGAGGGAAAAATTTTTTATCTTTGATTTTTCAATTAATAATACATTTTTTTATTATTTAAAAAAGAAAAATGACATTTTGATAATGTGCTTTTTCCTTGAATATTACTAATTTGAAACTAATTTCCAAAAAAGTGACCATTTTTACAAAAGGACAAAAAAGTGACTAAAAGGTCACATATTTAGAAAAACTTGATGTCTCTGCCATTTTTTATGTCACTGTCAGATTTTTATGTCACTACCGAACTTTTATGTCACTTTTGAAATGTCACTACCGGTTTTCATGTCACTTTCAGATGTCACTATACCGGAAAATGTGTCATTGTGTCGTCGGAAAATATTCCGGCGACTTTTCTCTATCGAATTTTTTGCCGGAAATCATCACTCATCTACCTCGACACCGACACTGCCACGTGAAACCGCGCGGCTACGGCCCCACCCAGCTCCAGCCCCCTCCCCTTCACCCCAACCCCCTCCCCTGCCCCCAGCTCCCTCCCCTGCACCTCCATCAACCTCCTCAGCCCCCTACACCTCCATCCCCCTCCCCTTCTCCCCCAGCCCCCTCACCTACTCCCCCAGCCCCCTCACCTGCTCCCCTAGCCCCCCACAGCTTAACAGCCCCGTCCAGCCCCAATCACCGCCACTGTAAACCTAGACGTCGCTCCTCTTCAACCAAAGGTGCAACCTGCCCAATCTAGCCTCGATCCGATCTCGTCATTGCCCTACCCGATCGTACTGTGAAACACTAGATCTGCCAATTTGGAGTCCAAAACTGAAGCCCTAAAAGTTGGGTCCATCGTCAGGCCACTCCATCGCCAAGTCATCGGCTTCGTCCCTGATGGAGATAAGTTCGATTGTGAACCTGAGGTGGAGAGAAGTTGGATCGTAATTGTGAGAAGGTGGGGAGATGTTGAGCTCACGACGAAATAAAACGGAAGAGGCGAGATGTTTCATTGGTCAATCCGGAACTGGCGACCCCAAATCGCACTCAGCCAAGGACGACAGATCCAACGGAGGAGCGGCCACCGAAGACTATTCGATTCTAGGCGTGGCGGAGGAGGAATGAAGACTGCAGCAGGAGAGCGGCGACGGTGGAAAAGTCTGCTTTGCGTAAGTAGGCGGAGTCGCGGAGAAGTGTTCTACCCTGCATACGAAGGAAGAAGAAGACGCTACGCGGAGGAAGGAGAAGCGTAGGTGGTAAATGGGCAGTTACTTTTTTGTCAAATCCTAAATTAGTCATATTTTTGTCTATCCAAACACTAGAAGTAATATTCCCTCCGTTCTATTTAAATCTTTACAATTTCCTTTTTGGGATGTCCCATTTACTCCTTCACGTTTCCCTTTTAGGCAACTTCTTTTATATTTGAAGTGGATAACCTTAATCTCCCAAAAGTCAAAGGACATCCAAGTCATTTGTTCTTCTATTAATTGAACTCCTAAAATACCGTGTCAAAAGCAAACATCAAGATTCAATCAACCGAGGGAGTATTTTGGCCATTGTTTCTTTTATAATATGGATTTGAAAGGAGGGTATTCGGATTTCGGATAAAAATTCCATAATTTCCATTAACCTCCTAAGAAGTTGTTCTCTTCACCTGATCTGAATGTTTCTGATCTGAATTTTTTAAGTTCTGATCTGATCTGATCTGAATTTTTCTGATCTGATATGATCTGATCTGAATCTTTCTGATCTGATCTGAATCTGTCTGATCTGATCTGAATGTTTCTGATCTGATCTGAATCTGTCTGGTCTGATCTGAATGTTTCTGATCTGATCTGAATGTTTCTGATCTGATCTGAATCCTTCTGATCTGATCTTAACTTTCTAAATTGGTATATAATAATAAGAATAATAACAGTAACAATAGCAATAATAATAATAACATCAATAATAATTATAATAGTAATAATAATTATTATTATTATTTAATAAGTATAATAAAAATAATACTCCGTAACAATAATAATAATTATAATAATAACAATAATAGTAGTATTAGTAGTAGTAGTAATAATAATAATAATAATAATAATAATAAGTAGTGATATTAATAACCTTTTTAATAATAATAAAAATATTTGATTGCACTTGAAATTGGAATATCCAACTCGTAAAAACGGATAAAGTTGTGCAGTGCGAAAGTTGATACCATAATCGCAAGTTGATATTGAATAAATGTTTGTACTTCAATTCATTCTTCTCGATCAAATGGTGACAGTATTATATATTTAGATTAGATGGATTGGTACAGAGTACTCAATTTTAGCATTTATTAAAAAATCAATACTAAAAATTACTCCGTAAAACATAACAGTAATATATAATATTATATAATAGTAATAATAACAGTAATAATAATTTCTGAACTAATCTGATCTGATCTGAATGCTTCTGATCTGATCTGAATGCTTCTGATCTGATCTGAATGCTTCTGATCTGATCTGAATGCTTCTGATCTGATCTGAATCTTTCTGATCTGATCTGATCTGATCTGAATCTTTCTGATCTGAATCTTTCTGATCTGATCTGATCTGAATCTTTCTGATCTGATCTGAATAAAATAAGAATAAGAAATAAGTAATAAGATTAAGACTAAGAGAACGGCTTCTAAATCTCTTTTTTACATAAGAAATGAGAAATGAGTAAAGTGTAGAGCTGATAAGCTGATTAATACTACGTAATAGCTTCGACTGTCTTCTCTCAAAGTCTGATCGATCTGATCAATTTCAGAATGTCCAACCCTGCGGAAGAGTCAGACATCTTAGACGAAGCAAGCAATTCTCATACACTATCTCAGCCCGAAATCGTAGAAGAAGAAGCACCGGGTGGAGACATGGCGCCGTCAGCTTCACCAGGTACCCTTAATAGGCGCGCCTCCAAGCGCAAGAGTGGTAAGAATGCCAAGAAGCAACAGGCTATAGATAAGAAATTGAATACCCTTAAGAGCAGTTTGAACCCTATTCCCTTTAGGCCTCACAATAATTTTGATTTTAACTCGCATGAGAAGCTGATGAAGCAGCTAGGGTTGTGGGAATTTGCTCACATACAGCTTGATCAAAATATCAGGTCTGATCTGATCGCTGAGTTGATCGCGTCTTATGACCCGAAACTTAGGTGTAGCTATGTGAATGACTTCAGAATCCAAGTCAATAGAGCTGATTTAGGGCGGGCCCTTAAGTTACTTATCAAGAAGGGAAAGGCCTTGCAAAAAGCCTTTGAGGGTGAGGATCTTGATGGGGCGTCATTATCCGATGAGTCCATTAGATTTATTGAGGATTTTGTGTCTAATTTTGTGCTTTTGCATGAAGACGCGTGGATAATGCCTCGTGAAGTGATCAGTTGGACAAAACTGATAAAGGAGAAACGCCCAGAGAAGGTGGACTGGGCTGGGTTGCTCTGGTTCATGGTGGATAAGGAGTTATCACGTGGGGAGCTGTTAGGTGACTGTTACTATGCTTCCCATTTGCAGTGCTTAATCAAGTCACAACGTAAAGAGCTGTTTTCCAGCGAGGAGCCTGATACAGTTCAATCGGAAGAGGAGTTCTTGAATGAAGAGACAGAAAAGACACAGCATGTTGAAGAAATGGTCTCTATGGATGAGGCTGAAAATGTGGAAGAAGACAAGAAAGAGGAGGGGGAAAGCAATGTTAAAGAGGGTCAAGAGGAAATGACAGTGTTCAAAGAGCCAAATGTTGAGCTCACATTAGGCCAGGATATCAAAGAAGACATTGAGATGGTAGATCCTGAAGGGCACGTGGAAAAAGAAGAAGAAGAAGACGAAGAACAACAACAACATGAAGAAGAAGAAGAAAAAGAAGAAGAAGAAGATGATGATGATGATGATGAAGAGGAAGAAGAGAAGGGGGAGGAGGAGGAACATGGGTTCTTTTTGCAGCATTGTGGTAGGAAAGAGTTATGCAAAGAAGAGATTTTGCAAGAAGAAGAAGAGGAAGAGGGAGACGATGATGGTTTTGGTGTTATGCAGAATGTTGATACCATTGATGGGGATTTACTTCAGCACGCAGATAACACATTCCTCTCTGGTGGGCCTTTTCTCACTGGTCAATCCTCGGTTGACTTTTTTTATCATGCCTGTAAAAGAGGAATTGAAGATGATGACGATGATGACGATGACCCATACATGGCTACTCATTCTCTTGGGGGGAATAAGAGACCAAGGGTTGAAAAGGGAGAAGAAGAAGCAAGGCCATCAGATGACAATCAAGGAAGTCTCGGGACAATCATTGATCGAATAGAACACTTGATCACCAAAGCTAAGCTTGAGAATGAACTGAGTCAACGATCTGTGCATGAGTATAGCATGCAGAATCAATATCTGCTTGGGGAGGTGCAAAAGCGTGACAATGCGATCGAACACATCAGCAAGACAAAGTCTGAGGAGATCCAAAAGAAAGAAGAGAAGATTTATCGGCTGGAGAGGGAGCTTTCCATGATGGGTAATATTCTAGATGGTTATAGGAAGGCATTGAAGAATACCCGCAAGGAGTTTGCTGAGTATAGGGTCCGTGCCCAGCTTCCTGAGGAACCGATATACCGAGATGTGGGGCCCGGCGGTCTAGTGCTGAGTGTTAATGAAATTGAGAAGCTTCGTTTAAAACAGGAGGAGGAGTTTAGATCAAACTGCTTGTTTATGGAGATGAAGGCGAGAGAGGCTGTGGAACCTTATGATGCCGCATTTGAAATGCTTATGCAGAAAGTTCTTCATATGGGCAGCAGGTTAACAAGCCTATCTGAGGATTTCAATGAACTTAAGAATAAAAAGCTGAGCAAGAAGAGGTAGCAGATGAAACCTTATTGTTGTGATACTTTTTTGCTAGCCTGGGGTATTAGTGTGTTTAAGTGGCTTTATCCTGTGAACTTCTATGTTCTGTCCACTGCTTGCTTTTGTATTTGTTTAAGGTTGACAAAATAGTTATCAGTTTCTTTTCCGTGTGCTTGAGTGCAAAATTGCAGAAAACCAAAAGTACCCATGATCCATTTTTGTTTTCTGGGATGCCAAAACTTCTTACTAGTCCAATATGCAAATTGTATTGTTTTGTGTTATTTTTTGGCTAAATTGTGCTTTTATCTTGTGAACTTCTAAAGTCTGTCCACTGCTTGTATTTGTATTTTAATTTTTCTGATGCATTTTAACTTTGGTGCTTGAATTTACAATGATGGAAACCCAAGATTGTCTTGGGATCCATATACTTCCTAGGGGAAAAATGAAAAATGTGTTTTGGGTTTTCCTGCACATTCACTTGAAAAGATATTCATGCTTTTCTCAGTTCTATGACTTTTCAATTTTTGTGGAAAATACCTTTTGTCTTGTGGAAACCGGAAATTGATTTCCTGAACAACTTAGGGTCAAGCATTTTATCATTATTAGATTCAAACTTACAAAAATGGTATTAATGGACATATCCCTACTTTGAATATGAAAATATGTATGTATTTTAAAATCGATATGAGATAATTTTCTTTTTTTGGGGTGGGAGATAGTAGATGGGCGGACTGACAATTTACAAGTTATTTGCAGAATAGATAATATACTTTTTTGTATGAATTGTAGTGTTAGCTAATTGAAGACAATCAATGGACTAAATTTCATGCCATCAACCCTTATATAGTTAGGGTAAAGATTATGATGACAACAATTAGATGTACAACTTGAAACATTGATAACACAGCCATGAACTACAATTAGACAGTCTTCAATAAGCAAACCAGTTCTTGATATTGCTAATAGCCTACCTAAATATTTTGAGCTTTTCCAAATGCTCCTTGGGCATCACATCTTAAGATGTAGAGTGATGTTGCGATGATGAGGTAGTACTGTGATAAATGTCCAGGTTAGGGGCTTGTTCAATTGGTGAGAAACCCTGAGGACTTAAGAGTATCATTGATGGTATCTGTAGTCCTGTTCTTTTTGGAATATTCGGATTCATTCCTATTTGAGTATAGAATATAGGACATTAACTTACGGTCTTAAAGACTTGGTGAGTATAGGATATGTATAAGCATACTGCTTTAAAGATTTGGTGAAGTAGTAGGTATTTACCAATATGTCTTATATAACAACAAGCTTACAGTTCCTAGTTACGAAACACATTTTTCCTGTCATAGCTTGGGTTTGTTCAAGCTCCCTGCTACTACCACAGAGATTCTCTTTTTAAAAACAGAACTTGGATGCTTCAGTGCAACTGCTTTCTATTGCTTACCATGTCAATATGCAATGTAGTTATTCAGCTTCATCATATTTATTTATTTTGCATAAAAGATATGGTAGTTCTTGTTTTTTGTATCAAAAAGGATTTCCATCCTTGACTTCTCTGATATCATGGCACAGTTTTAAATATTTTAACCATTGATGTTAATTATTCATTTATTTGGTGTTAATGGTTATGAATCTAGTACTTCTTTAATGGCCGAAAACAGTACATAACAGATCTCTTCAGTTGAACCAGCATTTTTTGGGCGTCGCAGCAAAGAGAGATATAACGGATCTCTGTTTAACTTGGTCCAAAAGGTGGAATCTCCCACCCCAGGAACCCCCAACCCGACAGGATGGTGGGGAGGTTAATCACGGTGACTCAGTCAGCAAAGCGGCGGTAGGCCTTATACACGTGCGCGTCAGAGGTCCAACCTTATTTCAGGTTCTGTAACCTCCACATAGCCGCTACGGGTTTCGAATCTTGGTCACTTGGTCCAATTTTCCCACCACTCGACCAACTGAGCTACTCGTGCGGGTACAAATATCTGTTTAACGGATATAATCTCTGATTCCATAAAGAAAGATGCTTTTTGAACTTAGAGTTAGACTCTGAGCCCGTTTGTTAACACTAAAATTGACTGAATCGGTTGATTCTGTTGAAATTTATGAAGTTCTTATTGTAGTGGTTGGATTGACTGATTCTGCTGATTTATGGAAAAAATTATATTTAAAATACTTTTTAATAATAAAAAAAGAAAAAATTATATGAAAAAATAGCTTAAATAACAATCTACGGTAAATTCATACAATATTGCTAGAAAACCAACTTCAATCTTACCTTTTCTTATCATTACACAATTCGGTATGCAAAATCAAAAGTTACATGTTTAGTGAAAAAGTTGACCGATAAGCCTGATAAGTCGAAAAATAAGGTTACTAAACCAGTTCTCTGTAGGTTGTTTATACTTCATTGTGGAAATTATTTCTGAAACATTGTTTTGGATGGACAGGTCCATAAGCTTTTTCTTGGTGATTATTAGGGACGGTTTGCGATTACTTGTACTTTTAAAAAGTGAATTTTTAAAGTGATTTTAGAGAAAGTGTTAAATAGTAAAAGTTGATAATGTGAGAAAAAATGTCTTCTGAAAAAGTAAAAGTTGATAGTGTTTGATACGAGTAGAATAAATTCTTTTTGTAATAGAAAAAGTGAAAAGTGGTTTAAAGCACCACTTCATTTGCTTCCACTTAATTTAAACTGAAGATGTCACTTGAAAAATCTCATTTGAGCTTTTTTTAAAGTCAAAAACTGAAAAGTACTTTTTATATTTTGCAAACACTCATTAGTTCATTTATACCTGATTCTAGATTTTAGAGTAAACAGTTTTCTTTACAAAAAACGTGCTAGTGGATGAAGAGCCTTTATGGATGAGGCTAAAAGATAAAGGTAAAGAAATGATCTTTGGCGATCAATTTTGATATATAAGCTATATTGTAGAAATTACTAATATGATTTTGAAATTCCAAAATAGGATTTTTATGTTTTTGTTCTTTAAATATGAGTACTATTTGTCAAGTTTGTAAAAACGTTTACAGAAACTGTTTAAGGTTTGGTAATACCAAACTTGATAGAAATTACTTTTGTTTAGGGAATAAAAACATATCAATCCTATTTTGAAAATTCAAAACTTTTTTACTCATGGAATTTTCCCAAAACATTATACCCCTATATTTCACATACAATGATGCAAAGTAATTATTTGTACACAATCAAACTTGTTCTAAAAATTTGTCTATTCCAAACATGTCCAACTCTAACCCGAGAGAATTTTATGCAAGTTTGCAACATAACTGAATAGGGAAAACATCCTTATTTGAGGCGCACAACAATATAATACATACTCACAAGTAACAAATCGGGGAAGGATATCAGTTTGGTTTTGTGTGAACTATACCCATATTTCAACAGTTGAATAATCTAATAATAATTGAAAGAATTAAAATAGTAGAAGAGAAATTTCATCAATAACGTATACCGTGTATATAGAATGATGAATCTATGAAGAACAATTACACAGTACTCGAACAACTAGAGAGAGAATTTCTAATCTACGTGCTCTACCAGAATAATATGCGGAATAGAATGTGTAGAGACTTAGAGAACAGATTCGGTCGTCTCAACCTATATTTATAGGAGAAATATTCAAACTGCCCTATTACAATTAGGAATGCAGCTTTAGGCGTGTGGGCTTATTAAGAGCACGATTAAATGGGCATAATTCTCTCTCAGCTAATCTAATTAAATACAAAGGCTCATTAAACAAAATACAATTAATTTGAACACAATACAATAATACTCTAACATTCTCCCCCTTTATGTTCAAATGTCGATGAAGCGCGGATTATCTCTAAGTCTTGTACAATCACTTCCGATAGCCAAGGATGACTTCATAATGTCTGAGAGTCCTTCTTAGTTCAAGTCTATCTCATATGGCTTTGGCAAAGTCTCCAATGAGAGCAATCTGGATCGGGTCATCTGGATTTTCTGATTTTCTTCAATTTCAGCGTGGCTTCTTCCAGATGTTCTTCTATAATCCTGAGTGTTCCATCACAGTACTTATGAGTCTCTTCCAGGAGCAGAATTCCTTTTACACCTTTGTAATCTCTGTAGATGATTCTAGTCTCCGGATGTGTTGTGATGGTGCCTTCTTCAAGATTCTCGATCCATGGAGCTCTATTTCTTGGAGCAGAAAGATTCACTTTGCTGAAGTTGCTCTCAATGCCCATCTGTAGATCAAATAGAGAATAGTATTTAACTTGTCACATCATGAATCTCTTGATGGCATTGAGGCCCAGTTCTCTGTCTTTCTGAGGAAAATCATTCAGTCTCACATTCCTGTATTCGTAGTATAGCTGAATAAGATCTTTCGGAACAACATAATAAAAATCAGCTTCAGAGACTCTTTGTACAACTCCGTTTTGACGCTCAAACTCGATCACATGATATTTCACTAATCCGCAGCTATGGATTTCGACTGAGTTGATCCCAATGATTAGAGAATCAGGATGTTTCTTCAGTCGCTCACGATGTCCATAAGGATCATTCTGATCTGTAGACATATTTCTCAGCATCCATATGTGACCGGAAGCGCAGTTCCAACAAACCACGGATCATGGAAGACAATTGTAGTATTGGTGATGAGAATCTAGAGTCGCTTCAATTTCAAGCGCATAATAACTCTTTCCCTGAAATGATCCAGGAGGACCACTCACACCCTAAGGCATCAGATATCCCGAACGAGGACTTCAACACACCTTCAAGAAAATTTCCATCGAACCAATAACTTTTGGATATGTTGGCTGAGACCAAAACCGCTTCTATAATAAAGAGGAGGAGCACTCGCATCAGATCAAAGATTCATCACGCTTTACACTGATTGTTGGTCCCTTTGGTACACTGATTGTTGGTCCCTTTGGTTCTTGTATTTTCCGATTTTGATTTTCTACTTTCCTTGCATTGTACTTTTTTCTTAAATATCAATAAAATTTCCCTTTTCCAAAAAAAAAATGTGACCGGAAGCAGCAGTTCCTTCAAGATGTTCCAATCCTCTCAGCTCCAGCTCGTCTATCTTCTTGATTTTCTTCTCATTTCTCCAAATTCTTGGCCTCAGATTGTCTTGATATGGAACACTGATTTTGACATTCTCCCAAGGTGTCTCGACCTTCTGTTCTATCTTGGATTCCTTGGGGTGTCTTTTGATGAGATGTTTCACATGATTGAAATCAGGTAGAAGATCATCGTAGAATTCACCTTGAGCATATTCTTCAGGTTCCAGTCCCATCAGCTTTTCAACAGCTTTCATCTTGACTTTTCGGATGTAGTTCAGCTTGATGA